AAAAACTTCAGAACCATGCTAAGCCAGTCAACAAAAGCCACAATGTACTCTTGTATACAACTACATGTACCTCAAACCCCTCTGTCATTTTTTTCTAATAAAAAACACACCTTTGATAGCTGCATAACATCAGATGCTGCTCCTTGTAATCTCTGTATGCACTCTTCCAAATCTAAAATAAAAGTTGAAAATCAAACAATTAAAAAAAAACTTCATGACCATTCAATACATCCACCACAAGTATTCAAAAGAGTAAGTACCTGCCCAACACACATGAAGAAGTTCACTACAAGTTAAGACTTCTGCTGAATTATTCTTCTATGGACAACATCCCATGTTGTTAAATAAAATTTAAAAAAAAGCTTTTACGGATAGAAAATGAAAAAAAATTTTTGTATCACCTGGTGTTATGACATTGGACCCACCAGACAATAAGTTGCTTTTAATCACCGGCTGATAGTTTTCCTACAGGTAAAAATACACAAGAAATCGTTAGATTTCTGAGGACCCTTCTATAAACCACTTCGTGACGTTAGCATCCTCATTAAAGATTACTATTATTTTATTAATGCAATTCATTTATTGATAAAGTTGTTTTTTCTCTCTGTACATGGCCATTTACCATGCATTTTGATTGGAACAGAGATACAAATAAAATGTCTATAATTTTCTACTTGAGCTGACAACGATGCATACTTAATTTGCTCTGGAGAATGTTCTGTTGTGGATATAAGAATATCATATAATTGACTTGCAGATTAGTGATCATTGCATTTATGAACACTACTTAAGAGGCAGTTAAAATAAAAGCTGAGGTCTCAAATTCAATACTGCTTGAAATGTGAGGGTTTGTCAGTCTGTGAATAAGGCTCTGGTTTGGTGTAAATGTACTGTTATTGATCATCTCACCAAAAATTCCTTATGGCTCTGAAGAATGTTACTGACTCCTTCAACAATTTGCTGAGGATATTTTTTACGTTTCTGTGTGGTATCTCTGATCATATCATCCAGTTCAGAACATATTTGAAGAACTTCTGTAATTCTGTCTCTGTTAAGGGGCTCCATTTCTGCAAATTAAGGACCAGTAATCATTGGGGACTGAAGAACATTTTCAAAATAGGTCATAACAAAAAACGTTTGAAACTTCTGCAACTAAAGGGTCCTTCAGCACTGCAGAGTGAACTCCAAAATATTTGCAACAAAAGGGTAGTTAAGAATGGCAGGCAGCTGGTAGTTTTGAAAACCTACAATGCCTGCTCTTCCCAAAAAGTATGAACATCCCTAAGAAATTTTGACAGTCTAGACTCTAACAGTAGTATTTTCTGGCATTTTGGGTTCTATTCCATTGAATGTTGTGTTATTATTGTGAATAACAGGAGTTAGAAGATGAGTTATATATAATGCAGATTCTTTGGAAGTTTAGTGTTATGTTACCTGAAAAATTTTGTCATGTCTATGGTCTCAGTTCTCCAAGTGGACTGAATACATTTTGGTTGCCATGTCAAGAAAAATTTTAACAGCTAAATTTGCCACAAATTTAACAACCAGAATTACCTTGAGATTGTGGTCGGAAGTTAACCCTTTAACTCCCAGATCAAATTTGTAATTCTCCTTACTGTCAACCATATACTTTTTAAAATGTTAGTTCAGAGAATTTAGTATTGGATCAACTTATTTTCCTCACACTGATATTTTTCCTTATTCTCATCACTTATCTGGTTGATATTGTATTGACATTGTAAGGAGAAATTCTGTCTTAGTCACTCAGTTAAAGGGTTAAAGAGAGTTAAAGAGAGTTAAAGGGTTAAAGAGAGATAAAATTTTGTATGATATACGATCTATCAAGAAGTGCAATGGACTTCCATTAATCATTTCCAGCCAATTTGCTTGTTTCAGTGACAAGCAGTGTGTCAAGCTGTAGAGCAAGTCGTAAAATAGCAAAAAAATCATTTCACAGGGGACTAAATCAAAATCTTCGTTATAGCGAGCATGTTATGGCTCAAGTTAGCCAAAATTCATTACAGCGACTTGAAAAGCTCCAAGCTTGTGAGCCCTCGGTCTTAGGCTTTATTACATCGCTCACATACGCTTAGAATAAAGATCACTCAAATGTACAAAATATAAACTTTCTAATACGCATGCACACACCTTCCTGAAGAAGAGAACTACTTGAAGCTTCTGACTCGCCTACATTATCCCAGGCCTGACCGCCAATGGTTACGTTTTCTTTGATAGTTTCCTCAACAGATTCCTTGTAAAGCTTGATCAAGCGAAAAGCAGTCAAAATTAACATTTACACGTAAATCGCTAAATTGCAAGACACTGACATGTTCTTGGCACCCTTGTACATTTTAAAAATCAAGCTTAAATTTCTTTCATGCAAGGAAAATCAGAGAATCCTCCAACCTCGAGCAGCTTTCTCTCAAATTCCTCTTTCTGTTGCGAATTCCAAGACTTCTTACTTGCTATTTCATGCACTTCCTTTTTAATTTTATCGTGAATTCTGAGAACTGTTTGTTTGCTATTAACAGAGACTCTTCCATCGTCCGCCATTTTTGTTTTTTTCGCGCTTTTTAAGCTGCGCATGAGCAGCTATTTGCTAAGGCCCTCAAGCACTTCGGGATAGGTACCAACATGGCGGAAAGTAGCAGTAATCGAGTTTTCAGTCTGGTGCCTTCGCTTGAATATTTGTCGCCTTCCTACAGGCTTTTGAACCGTCAACATATGAATCATTCTGGAAAATGATGAAGTGTGTTTTTTTTTATTTTTCCTTTTTTTTTGTTTTATAATTGTTTAGTTTTATTTTTTCAAAATCATGAATGTATTTTGATTTGGTAGTATGTTTATTTTTATATGGTGGCGTGTGACCCAGGAAATCCGAAAAAAATTAGAGACAGGAAAAACTGGGAAAAAATATACACGACGTGGGAGCAACTTCAGAATACCCGGCCACTCATTTACATGTCATTGATTAAGAATAACGTCTATTGTGTTATGCCTCGATCTTCAAAGCCTCCCGACACATGTAAGTGAGGCGGACCAAAATGACCGGGTATTCTGAAGTTTAGCCCAAGCATACAAATGACTTGTTTCCTGTTTAAAAATATGGTAAAATTTCCGCACAGCCCCATACTTCATTATGCATTCAGTTCTTGAATAGAGAAAACAATGACTATAACAATACATTGCCATCGGGAAAACAGATTTGTTTTACAATAGCATGGGGCTGTGCGGAAATTTTTTACCAAAAATATACATTGAAGTACAAAAGTGATGTACAAAAATGAACAAGTAAGCTATGTAAAGGGATAAACACAAAAGACATACATGGTCACAAGACTATTTAAACTAAAATTATGCAGATTCCAAGTTTGCTGCACGTCACCAAGAGAATTCTTTGTGCAAAATATTTTAATTCCATGGAGTATTTTAATAATGGTATATAACAGCTGCAATCTATGTTTCTCTTGCAGTGTTGACATTATAGATATGGATGATAGGATTAAGGGAACTGACTTGAGAGGGTCAAAGTATACTATTTCTCAGGATGGTTTGTGTCCTCGCTGTGGGAATTCAAACAGGCTCTATGTCATACTGGATAAGTATGTTTTCTTACCACTAAAAAGTTTAGTAAATTATGAATACCTAAAATGCTTCAAGACTGCTCATGTGCCTTGAAAAAGAAGACCAATCAGGAGTGAGAAAAA